AAGATTTTTTTCTATTAGCGAAAAAGAAACAAATACGTACTATATCAACAGCATATGTCAACCAAAAGAATATAGTAGCATGTAAATGTTCTGTCTTTTAAGGAAATGTTGTTATTAACTACATGACGTGTTAAAACGTATAGAACTCTTTTAGCAATTTACTGACTCTTTATTGACCAAAAGTAAAAGAAATTTGTATGATACCTTGAATCGATTTTTAGAGTGCATTTTCTATCTAACATCCATTTGTGATGCCATAAAAAGCTCTCAAACTTAGATTCGATGTTGCTCGTATACTTTAATGAAAATCCTTTTGTAGGAAACATTACATGACTTTCATGCAGGTTCGATCTAAATGTTATATTTTAATGAGTCTGAGTGAGCAGAATTGGCAGCTACGTATGGACTTCTACACTCCTAAATATTCCGTTCGATAAAACGATAAAGAAAAATATCCAAAAATACTATCGGGTTGAAGATTTCTTTTAATAGCCGTAAAGCATCTACAGTAGTATTTTTTTTTGAACGAGGCATGCTTCATATATTCAAAGGGTAATATACATTTTCAGAAAAAGAATTTTGAAGAAAGAAGTAACAAAAAGATTTTTTTCATAGTGTGTGAGTGTGTCTGTGGATGTAGTTGTGGGTGGGTGATGTGGATGTGGGGTGTGGGTGTGCGCTTGGATGTGGGGTGTGGGTGTGCGCTTGGATGTGGATATGGGTGTAGATGAAGAGATACAGAAAAAGATAATCCGCATCCACACCTATACCCACACCCCACCCTAATGTTATGTATCATCAACTCTTTTCATCATAGGAAGTCGACAATTGAACGGCACAGAACATGATGTCCATCAAGAGCAATCACTTTGTGAACGATGATCTATCAGAATTTCAAGAAGTTAACCGCAGTCCAATATATGGTTACCAAGATTTGTCCGTTATGACATTAGAAAAAGCTGTTGAAAGGATCATTCCATTAGTTTCAGATCTTGCAGATCATGTTGCTCGAGCTAAACAAAGTTGCAATCAAAACTCAGCTCTCATAACATGGGATGAATCAGCAGCAATTTATCTTTACTCAATGCAAACAGGTTTTTTTCCCATGCTCAACAAAGCGCTTCGAGATGAAAATCGACATGTTTTGAAACCATGGTTCGCCTATTTGAAATTATTTATTACTGCTCTCGAGAAATTACCATCACTCGAGATAAGGGTATGGCGAGGAGTTGCGGACAATGTTACCTCCATCTATGTACCGAATAGTGTGCAAACTTGGTGGAGTGTGAATTCATGCTCAACAGCTCTCGATGTCGTTCAAGCTTTCATGGGGGAAAATGGAACATTGTTTGCCATTGATGCGATTCATGCCAAAGATGTATCCGCCTACTCGGCATTTCCACAGGAGCAAGAATTTATTCTTATGCCTGGAACTAAATTACGTATGAAGAGTAATTCATTCAACTTCGAAAATCGTCTGTTCATCGTCGATTTGAAA